CTATATCACCGGAATTATTAGACATTATCAAGAACTATTTATTGAATTAGCAATCAGATTAGATGAAGGATAAAAAAAGGCTTTTGAATATTATTTAAAAAGTACCAAAGCCGAATATGGACATTGTTGTGGAATGTATAATGTTGGTCGGTGTTATCAGAACGTGATAGAAGTAGAAAAGAATAAAGATTTTGCATTTGAATGGTATTTAAAATTGGCTGTTATGAGACATAATTGTAATTGCAAGTAAATGTAAAATTTAAATAAATTTATGAATTTATTTATTAAATTATTATAAAGAACATTTTTAAGCATAAAGATTACTTTTATTATATTAGCAATCGGATTAGATGAAGGATAAAAAAAGGCTTTTGAATATTATTTAAAAAGTGCCGAAGCTGAATATGGACATTGTTGTAGAATGTATAATGTTGGTCAGTGTTATCAGAACGGGATAGGAGTAGAAAAGAATAAAGATTTGGCATTTGAATAGTATTTAAAATCGGCTGTTACAAGACATAATTGTAATTGCAAGTAAGTATAAAATTTAAATAAATTTATGAATTTATTTATTAAATTATTATAAAGAACATTTTTAAGCATAAAGATTACTTTTATTATATTAGCAATCGGATTAGATGAAGGATAAAAAAAGGCTTTTGAATATTATTTAAAAAGTGCCGAAGCTGAATATGGACATTGTTGTGGAATGTATAATGTTGGTCGGTGTTATCAGAATGGGATAGGAGTAGAAAAGAATAAAGATTTGGCATTTGAATGGTATTTAAAATCGGCTGTTACGAAACATAATTGTAATCGCAAGTGTGAATTTAAATAAATTTATAAATTTATTTATTAAATTATTATAAACAAACATTTTTAAGCATAAAGATTACCTTTTTTAGCTTCTAACTTCGGACACTTGTGCTGCTTTGGAATGTTTGAACCCAGATCATGGAAGATTAATTATTGCCGGAGATTATATGGTATATTTGTACAGTTTTCCTATTGATATTTATTAATTAATATCATATTGTTCAAAATAAAGAAAATAGGCTTAATCAAATCATTAAAACTAATACTAATAAAGCAAGTCTTGAAAATACCACATCGAATATTGAAGCAAGTCTTGAAAATATTGCATCGAATATTGAATTTGATGATATGAAAAATAATGATAATACTGGTAATTTGAAAGAAAATTTGAAGAAAATATAATGCAAACAATTAAGAACATTGCTAATTTTAATACTAATGATTAAATTATATATCTGAAGCCATAATTTAATTTTCTATTCAAGTTACATATAGTATTCAAGAAAAATTGATAATGTTTAACCATTAAATTAATCATTAATTGTATGTGATAAATTGAAATTTAAGTTTTTAGAATAAAATTAATATAGCTAGAATATGTAATTAAAATATATATATAAATAGTTTTGTAATATATTATTAAAATTAGATAAATAAATTAGAATTATATAGAAATTAAAAAATGAAATAATACAATTATATATATTATTAAGATATAAATTTTGTAATATAATAGATAATTTATTTATTAAAAATAAATATATAGTTAAAGAATAGAATATATTGTATATTTATAATAATATTGTATATAAAAAAATAAACTACCAAGCTTTTATCTTATTAATTGCATTTTGTAAATCTAATTCAATTTTTTCTTTTTCATTAATTTCAATACTTTCTTCTGTTAAATTATCTGTATTATCTTCTTCATTTTCATCATCATTTTCATCATCATCTTCTAAATCTTCTTTAGTAAGTTTGTCTTTGTCTTCTGCTTCTAAACGTTTTACAAATGCATTTACATTACTCCATATTCCTTCATTAAAATATTTTATACAATGTTTGCATTTAAATTCTATTTGATTATAACAATTCCAATGATATCCATGACCACATATTAAAACAGTTTCATCAGAATCTTGTTCAAATAATTTGTAACATTGATCACAGCTATTAAAAACAGGTAGATATTTAGTATGATATCCTGCTAGTAATACTCTTTCATCAATATCTTCCATAGTAACAAATTTAATATTTAAATCTTCTTTTTTATCTTTTTTTGATTTTGGTTTTGGTTTTGTTGCAGATAATATAGTATTAGTTCTTAATGTTTTTCGATATTCTTCAAAAACTATTTGAAATTGTTGAAGCAAAAATAAACATGTTTTGTTAGTTAAAAATTCTAATTCAGATGGTGAATATGGATAATGTTTAGTATTTATAAATGCTTCTCTAAATGCAGAATGTTTATTAGCATCTAATAAAAATATAATTATTTAGTATTTATATTTTATAATTAATAATTATTATAATATTAAATTTTAAAATACCTAATAAATATGCTTGTTTTTGAATATCATTTGCATTATCTTTACATGTTATTGATGCTCTAATTCTACTATGAATATTTTCAATCCAATAATCATTAAAATTAACTAAAAAAAGCTTAATTGCTTCTTTTATAGGATGATTATTTTGTTCCCAATAAAATATATCAGATAAAAATGCTAATGGAGCTTTGTTATAATTTTTATGCTTCCATCTTAGAGCAAAAGTCCAAATACGAAAAATTGTTTCAAGATATTCATCAAATGATCCTAATCGAAATAATACAGCATAAATATCAAGTACTGCTGGAATAATATTATCTAAAAGATCAATTATTGCTTGATATTCTGTAAATTTGCATAGAGCTCCAAATTTCTCTATTATTAAAAGTCTAATTTTAATCCATGCACTATATGCTAATTCTAAAAGTAAATTTATTCTCCATGGTCTTGGTTTTTTAGCAAATTTTTTACGTACTCCAAATACGCTATGAAATAATTTTTTAAAAAAGCTATAATAAACTTTTATAACTTGTTCTCTGCTATTAAGACTAACATGTAATGGTCCAAGAATAGGAACAAATGAAATTACTTCAGATGGAATTTGTGAATTTAAATTATTTTTGTGTAAATGAGTAATAGCTCTTCTAATAAATAATTGTCCTGGCCAATCTGCAATTACTGAAGCAATATAATCATTTAAATGATTTGTTTTTTCATTATATTTAAGTATTATATTTAAAATTTCTAAATAATTTTGCATAGAATGAAGATGCTGTTCTTTAATTCCAATTAATATTGTTTCTTTCATTTTTCTTTCTTCTTTTCTTTCTGCAATAGCATTATCATAACAATGTATAGTAAGTTGATCAATACGATCAAATTTAAAATTTTCAGATTGCTTTGTGCTTGCCCATTGCATTTTACGTTGTGTATAAGAAAGATCGAAAAGCCCTTGATACTTATTAATAAGTTGTTCACAAATAATTGATGCATCAATATTTACTGGATTATGAACTGATATACTATTAAAAATTACTGGTACTAGTCCACATTGTTCAACCTTTTTGCACATACTTGTTGCTAAATAAGCTGCTCCTGATAAATTAGTATCATCTGGTCTTCTTTTTTCATGAATATTATGATAATCATCTATATTATATACACAAAGTGAATTTTTCTAATAAATAAATTTAAAATATTAAAATATTAATATATAAATTTTATTTATATAATTATAGTTTAATAATAAAAAATTTACTTACATTTTTAATAAAATATTCTTCAACTTTTAATAGATGTTGTATAGCAATCTTTTTTTTATTATTATAAACTGTTTTATTAGTAACAGAAATTCCAGCATTACTTAAAGTATTAATTGTTTCACAAGATGCTCCACATGCTGCAAGATATAATCCAAGCTCCAATTTAAATTGATTAGCATGCATATTACAAAGACTAGCAATTAAATAAAGAATTACTACAACCTTTTTTTTAGCATCTTCTTGTAAATTTGATGACCAATTTAAAGGTATTATAATTTTACATATTTCATCAAAAAATCCAATTAGATCAGAATCAGATTCTTCAAGCATTTTTTTAAAATTATTAGGTTCAAGCACAAGAGTAGCTATTTCTTTTCGTTGTTTATTATATATTATAGTTGTCATTTTTTTGATTTTATCAGCAAGTGACAATTGTGGTAATGGATCTAAAAATAATTAAATTATAAATTATAAATAAATTTAGACAATTGTTATTTGTATACCATGTATATATACATACATATATTTTTGATATCTTGAAATTTTAATTATAAAACCCATTTCAGGGTTCTAACAAAAAAAATTTCTTGCAAAATTTTAGTATAAATTATAATCTCCTCTAACCCTAAAGTTATCCTCACCCTAACCTTAAACTATACTAATTTTTCATTTACAATTTATATATTAAATAAATTCATAAATCAATAAATTAGTATGTGTATATATACACCTAATATAAATTAAGTAATTTTTATAAATTTATATAACTAAATAAAATTTAGATATTTACCAATAGAATTATTATTTTCAATAATATTATTTGAACTAATATTATCTTGATAATTTTTTCTATAATTATTCCAAGCATTTTCAACAATTTCCATATAATGAGCATTGCAAATTTGTTGATCTATTTGTAAATATGAATATTGTTGAAGAGAACCTGTAACTAGTGCTTTTGCAAAAGCATTATCAGTTAAACTTTTAAATCTTGTAGATTCTTTGTTGCAATTATAAATAGAACAAGGTCCTTGATTAGTCTTTTGTCTAGGCATGATAATAAAAAATTTTGTAATAAAATTTTAAAAATTTTTTTAACAAATTTAACAATATTTATAAATATATAATTTATTAAACATTTATTATATTTATTTATTATAATTATATAAAGTTATATTTAATATTTACAACTATCACTATTTAATATTTGCAACTATCGCTATTTAATATTTACAATTATCGTTATTTAATATTTACAACTATCACTATTTAATATTTACAACTATCGCTATTTAATATTTACAACTATTGTTATTTAATATTTACAACTATATTTATAATTATTGTTATTTAATATTTACAATTATCGTTATTTAATATTTACAATTATCGTTAATTATCGTTATTTAATATTTACAACTATCATTATTTAATACTTACAATTATCGTTATTTAATATTTAAAATTATCGTTATTTAATATTTACAATTATTCGGCAGCTTATTATAATTAGAAATGAGTAAAAATTTAAATATTCTTACATATTTTAACATATTCTTACAATTTATGGTAAAATTAATACACTAAGATAAAAAAAAAACTTTATTTTTTTTTAAATTTAC